GGTGATGATGGTGGTAGTGGTAGCCATGAGTGACCATGGTGATGGTGGTGAGTGTGGGTGGTGGTGGGAGACGATGATTGTCAGTGGTGGTGGTGGGGCAACAATGGTGGTGGTGGTGAGTGACAGTGGCTGGTGGCAATGGTGGACGATGAAGGATGGTAGTGGGTGCTGAAAGTGGGCGACGTGGTAGTGGGATGATGGTAGTAGTGGTAATAAATATAAGAATGAGATGACGATGGTGATAGGTTGTAGTGATGGACGACAGTGTTAGCAATCGGTAGTGGTGGGCAGTGGAGGTGATAGTGGGGTAATGGCGGTGGTGGTGANGATGATGGTAGTAGTGGTAATAAATATAAGAATGAGATGACGATGGTGATAGGTTGTAGTGATGGACGACAGTGTTAGCAATCGGTAGTGGTGGGCAGTGGAGGTGATAGTGGGGTAATGGCGGTGGTGGTGAGGGTGACGGCGGTGGTGGGGGTGGCAGNGTGATGGTGATAGGGTAGCGACGGCAACGGCAGCGGTGATGGTGGGGGTGATGGGGGTAGAGGGGGTGGTGATAGGATGACGACAACGGTGGTAATGGTGGTGGTGGTGACGATTGTTGTGGTAGAGGTGGTTGTGGGGTAACGACGACAGTAGTAGTGGTGANGGTGGTGGTGACGATTGTTGTGGTAGAGGTGGTTGTGGGGTAACGACGACAGTAGTAGTGGTGATAGTGGTAATGGTGACAGTGGTGGTGGGACAATTCTAAACAATACTTTTTTTTGTTAAAGTACTTATGAGAGGTTATAAGTCCTAAAAGTACTTTTAAAAAATTATCCCAAACACACCCTTAGGGACATATTTTCCCTATTAACTTTGGAGTGTTAATATTAACCGTCAAATTAACTTAAAAAAAATTTAAAGAGATCTTAACCACGAAAAATAAAAGTTATTTTATTTATCTTTTGAGATTTGAATTGTATTGTATTTTATTATATAGATAATAAGAAAAAATCATAACTCAAACAAAATTCATAGGAATAAGCAGCAAAAAAAGACATGAGCGTGTAGTAAAGTGAGATTTATAACCTTTGCTGGTGCTTCAAGTTTCGATATATGCGTGAAGTACTTAGAGAAATAGGCAGATGTGGGCTTCAAAAAGAAGATGAATACAATTAAGTGGACAAACTGGATGAATCCAAGTAAAAGCACTCCATCCAAAATCTTAAGATCAATCTAATCAATCCAATTAACAAACAATGTACCCAAGCCAAAAAGAATTGTTGTGGGGGAAGAAAGATAATTGGTACTTGTTGATGTAGCGCAACACAAACAATTTGTGTGAAAGCTAGAGAGATAGAGAGAGAAAAAAGATATGTTCCAATTACAAGATGGAAGCTCAATAGAGTTCTAATTGATAATGTAATATCAGTAACTCAATGCTTATCTATTAATATTATTGATTGACGGTGCTATCAGTTTTTTTTGGAAGTAAGAATACAAAAAGATATGAAATCATTAGAGTGATTAGGTAGGGTATAGATAATTAAATACATAAGGATAGAGTTGACTTTTATTTTTTTTTATAAGGACATAATTGTTAATAAAAATTTTTTCACTTTTATTAACATTATATATATATATATATATATATTGTATTAATTCATCCATTTGCTCCCAAAATTATTTTTTAATACGTTCATCTAACCTTACTTGAGGTGCGTAAGCGCTAATCATATTAATTATATTCTTTTCGAATACAAGTTTTATAGATATAATCCTATCTTTCAGGCTTTTTATCTATTGCTATTTCTACTTTATTTCTTTGTTTATCCTTTCCTATATAGTATATCTTAAATACTGTATTTTCTATCTCCTTTGCCTTCTCACCTACCTACTTTGTTTCTTGTAAGCATGTTATACTAATTTTTCTCCTACTCATAGTGTCTACTAATTGTGACAAAAAAAAATGTCTACTAATTGCACTGTTTGGCGGTGAGTGTACCTATATTCCATGCTGCTAATCTAAGTCTATTAAAAAAAATGTCTACTAATTGCACTGTTTTGCCGGTGAGTGTACCTATGTTCCATGCTGCTAATCTAAGTCTATTATCGCGGACTAACTTTTCTTAACCCCCCATGTTTGTCCTTGGCGCAGAGACCCTAGTCCATTTCTCACCGCACCTAGGCGTCGATGCGACGCTTCTAACTTATTTGTCGAAACGTCCTGAGGCAGGCACAATGCCCCTAATTGATTTTTCAAAAAGCCTCGAGACAGGCATAACACATCACTTATGGGAAACGACCTAGCATTAGTGTATATATCATTGTTTGGACTCATCATAGTAGATCCGACAGAGTTTTACGCTGATTGTCAGTTGCCTAACACAACCTTTCTCCTTTATTCTGACCTGGGACAGACAATGTTGAATATTGGCAGAGTTAACACAAACTACGATCGATCAACCATAAAAACTAAGAGGTTGTTTGGTAACAGGTTTTGTCCTGTGTTTTGTATTTTTGCTTTCAATTTTTTTCAAAAATGAAAACAAAAATAGGTTTGGTAATTGTTTTTGTTTTTGTTTTGTTTTCGTTGTATTGGAGACAAAGACGAAAAAATGGGAACACAAAATTTTTGTTCTAGGAAACACGCAAAACAGAAATACGCGCTAAAAAGGATTAATGAGATATGGGTTTCGAACTCCCTTAGCAGCAAAAATAGTCTTTTTTCGTGAACCTATTTAAACCCACCTCATTTCTCTCTCTTCTCCTCGCTACCTCACTCTCTCTATTCTCTTCTTTCCATCGCTGCCTCACTCTCTCCATTCTCTCATCGTCACCGACGAGATCTCCTCTTCTCTCTCTCACCGACGGAAGTAAGCCCCTTCTCTTTCTATCTCTTTCTCCCTTTCTCATCTCATCTCCTCGCTCTCTCTCTATATATATACACACAGATCCGTGTATATATATGTACATATACATAGATTTGTGCATAGATGCATATATGTGCACATATCTGTGTATATATACATATATATACACAGATCTATGTGTGTTGCGTATGTGTTCTGTGTTCTTGGTGTGTGTGTGTGTGTGTCCTGTGTTCTGGGTGTGTGTGCGTTGTGTTCTCTGTATGTGTGTGTGTGTGTGTGTCCTGTGTTGTGTTTGTGATTGAGATTGGGATTGAATTTCCATTTACATTAGGATTGAATTGGGGGTAGGATTGAATTGTCATTTGAGATTAAATTGGTATTTGAGATTGAGATGAATGACATTTGAAAAGAAATAGACAAATACACGTAGATATNGGATTGAATTGTCATTTGAGATTAAATTGGTATTTGAGATTGAGATGAATGACATTTGAAAAGAAATAGACAAATACACGTAGATATGGAGACAACTGATACAATCTTTTGGTCTTTGATGATCATGGTTAATTGTGCTAGAGTATGCTGCTGCATTGAGGATGTTAAGGTGTGAATGAGGCTGGTTTGCAAGGAGATGAATTCTGGGAGAAAGGCTGCTGCCATGGATTTTTGGTCTTTGTTGTTTGCTGCTGTTGTGTTGAGCTTGTTGTTTCTTTTTGATCATTTTAGAATATGAAATTACAATGTATTCTTTTGCTATGGGATAAGGATCCTTTATTCTTTTATTTCAGAAGATCAACCATCCATTTGGAAAGAATTGTGTATGTGAATCTTGATGCAACTGAAATTTGTAGTTAAGCATTGGTTTATTGTTGTTCAATCACAATTTCAGAAATATGGTTGTGCAAAATTGATGCTTTGTTGAAGGTCTTTAATACATGGTTATAAATAATTTTTCATGAAATAAAGTGTTGATTTGTTTGAAAACAAAAAATGAGATATTATAAAATATATTTAGAATAAAACTTGAGATAGTTATCAAATATGTTTTTTGTTTTTATTCTCATAATTTGATAGACAAAAATGACTACAAACATGTTTTTCGTTTCAGTGTTTACCACAAAATATAGACAAAAAAATTATCTCTATTTTTGATTTTTTGAAGACGCAAAAAAATTACCTAACGACCCCTAAATTTATTTTGGGTGATTTCTGTCTTTAATGTCTTAAAAATACTTTAATTGAATTTAAGAACTTCAAAGAATACGTTATTAGACTTTTGGCCAATTTTCACAATTAAAATTCCTTTCAAACCAGTTATCACCGTTGATTTTCATGAAACCAACGGTCAAGGGCAGATTCTGGAAAGCGCAAAAACCGCAAAAGCTTCTTTCTATTTCCATTCAAAGGTCCACCATCTTTGCCGTTTCCAATGCCCTTTTTCCAACTTGGATGACCCCTTTTTTTCTTACTTTATCTTTTTTGAGGGAAAGCAATTTAAAGCCTCTCATTGCTTCTCTCTCGCCCTCTTTTCTGAAAGAAGAGAACGTATTTAGAGTGAAGAACACGAGATAGATTTCGGAATACCGGCTGATTTTTGGGTCTTTTAATATGTTGTTATTGTTTAATTTTGTCACCCTCTTTGGGATCTCTGGGAAGATTTGAGGAGTTTTATTGTCATTTTATTAGGATTTTGTAGGTGAATTTAAGAGAAATTGATGGCCGAGGTAGTTAGCAAGTTTAATACTCTTTTTTCTCCATGGAATAGTAGTAGTGGTCATCAAAATCATCAACATGGCGNTTAAAGCCTCTCATTGCTTCTCTCTCGCCCTCTTTTCTGAAAGAAGAGAACGTATTTAGAGTGAAGAACACGAAATAGATTTCGGAATACCGGCTGATTTTTGGGTCTTTTAATTTGTTGTTATTGTTTAATTTTGTCACCCTCTTTGGGATCTCTGGGAAGATTTGAGGAGTTTTATTGTTATTTTATTAGGATTTTGTAGGTGAATTTAAGAGAAATTGATGGCCGAGGTAGTGAGCAAGTTTATTACTCTTTTTTCTCCATGGAATAGTAGTAGTGGTCATCAAAATCATCAACATGGCGTATCTGTGTTTCCGGCTAAATCTACCGTTTTATTATATGAGATGGGGTTTCCGTCTCTGAAGCTCAGATCTAGTGCTCTGAAATCATCATCACCATTATATAACAGCGATTTTTGTGGCCGTCGAGTGCTAGTGGGAAGAATCGAAGCCGGGGCCAATATAGGAAATATTCGATCGGCATCTTCTAATGCCCAGGTCTGTTACTACATTCCATACCTCTTTTCATATTATTTTGTGTCTATGCGAANCATCTTCACCATCATATAACAGCGATTTTTGTGGCCGTCGAGTGCTAGTGGGAAGAATCGAAGCCGGGGCCAATATAGGAAATATTCGATCGGCATCTTCTAATGCCCAGGTCTGTTACTACATTCCATACCTCTTTTCATATTATTTTGTGTCTATGCGAAGGAGAGGCCAGGAGTAATACGTATGAAACTTCTGCAAAGCAGATCCACGTTATGAATTTTACCCAATTTGTTTGCATATATGATATTGGATTTGATGCCCTGTTCATTTTGTGTTGGTCAAGATTGTCGTAAGAAATTGTTTTTCTGCGATCAAAAAAATTATGTAAGGACATAGATTTATGTGATGTCTATATATCTATGTTGCTATTTGTTTTAGAAGAACGGAATCTTTTCTTTTTCGTCTGTGTTGTGTTTAGTGGTGGTGGGGTGGGGAATTAATGCTAAGGTTATCGACGCTATGTGATTTGATAGTTTTCGGTGAAGTAATTTTGTCAACCTCATGGTTGCACCTTCAAAATTTTCGGTTCTTCGTATCTTGTGATGGCTTATGCAATTTTGTGGCTTTTATATTTTTTTAATGATAATACTCAATCTCAATTAATGGGGCAATGTTAAATTTATAATCAGATGGGCACTGGAATCGGGAAAGCTCAGAGGTGGTGGGAGAAAGGGCTTCAACCAAACATGAAAGAGGTGGCTGGCACCCAGGATCTTGTTGACTCTCTTTTGATTGCTGGAGATAAACTGGTTATTGTTGATTTCTTCTCTCCTGGTTGTGGAGGCTGCAAAGCTCTTCATCCCAAGGTATTATAATCTTTCACCAAGTATTCTGTTAATTTTTGCCTGCAATCTGGAATAAACAATGAGCGAATGAAACGTAGAATGAAACGTAGCGGCTTGGCTACTAACTTTTTTTTTTCTCTCTATCCTTTAATCTAGTAATTATTAAGTAATGTTGGTGTGGTGTTTTTTTCTGACTTGCAGATATGTCAATTGGCGGAAATGAACCCAGATGTCCAGTTTCTTCAGGTGAATTATGAGGAGCATAAATCCATGTGCTATGCCCTTAACGTCCATGTTCTTCCCTTCTTCCGTTTCTACAGAGGGGCTCATGGCCGTCTTTGCAGCTTTAGCTGCACCAATGCCACGGTTAGTATTACATTCTGTAGGTGACCGGATTTCCTCTTTTTCCAGATGGACAAAGCAAATTTTTCACAACTATGTTATTCAATTTCCCATGGCGGGATCATTTAATTCAGTTACAAACTAGGTTTGAACATGNTTACATTCTGTAGGTGACCGGATTTCCTCTTTTTCCAGATGGACAAAGCAAATTTTTCACAACTATGTTATTCAATTTCCCATCATTAATTCAATTTCCCATGGCGGGATCATTTAATTCAGTTACAAACTAGGTTTGAACATGGAGCAAATTTTGAAACTAGACTTGGAGCTGAAACGACCTTTTTTCAGCTTTACATTTTGTTCTTGGTTTCTGTTTTTCTCTTTTATGTGGTGTTAGATTTTGCGATCACCTTGTGGGTTGATTTAGCTAAGCTGCATTTCGACCTATGAATTGTGAGCTCTATTGGAATTTAATGCTACTTAGAAACACGGCAGTTGCCTTCCCCAATTGTTTGACCTGGTCTCCTTCTGCATCGCTGCTTTGTCTAGTTAGTACTGCTGTCTCATCTGAGCGATCAGTGAAGGTCTTTTGCTTGCTAGGCTTCCTGAGCACTGATCAACTGTATAGATTTTGATCCAAACGGGTGTCATGTGCAGTAGCTAAGCCTAATGAGGTGAAAAAGTAGCTCCTAGGATAATACTCACCTATACAATTGGCGGTCGAACTGATCAATGATTACAACATAATCTGCTCTTAATGTTTGTGTTGTTTTCTTCTTGTACTCCAATCTGAATTACAATGATGGTAATTATGATGTCACAGATCAAGAAATTCAAGGATGCATTGTCAAAGCATGGCACGGATCGTTGCAGTATGGGACCGCCAAAAGGGCTGGAAGAGAAAGAGCTGCTTGCACTCTCGGCCAACAAGGATCTATGCTTCCTCTACAAACCAAAACCAGAGCAACCAACTCCTGTTCCTGTTCAAGAAGAGATCTTAGCAGAAGCAGCAGCACCGCCACCACCGTCATCACATCCACACTCAGAGCCCCTCCCCCTTCCCCTTCCCCTTCCCCTTCCCCTTCAACTTCCCCTGCCATCAACAACTCCTAAAAAGGACACACAAGACACACAGGAGAAAACATTGGTCTCCTCTGGAAGATGATTGAATGAGAAGTGTTTTCAGTCGCCAACCCCTATTTGCCTTTACCCATTTCCTCTTGTACAGTATGTTTTCTCATGTGTATATGAAAGGAATTATGTAAAGAATGCAGCGGAATTTAAAAATTTGTTTCCCGTTCTAAAATCTATTTATGTTTAATATAAACCGAGAAATTTTAGATATATAGTAAAGATTAAGAGTTACCTCTTGAAGAATACTTTGAATGATCGTTTAGTTTTTTGAAATAATTTTGAATTTTTAAATTTATATTTGATCTTTATCCTAATTCTCGCAATTGTTTGACTTCTGTCAGTGTCCATACGAATTGATAAACTAGAAGGATTTATCTCAACTTTTGATAAGCGAATTGATAAACTAGAAGGATTTATCTCAACTTTTGATAAACTAGTTGAGAGAGTTTTAAGACTCTAATCCTAGTTTTGGTCAATTTGTAATTATCTCAACTCATTTATTAATCATAAATTATAATAAAGTCTCTAATTAACCTTTAATTAGTTTTTCACATCAATTAATTCTTAATTGATTTTTTCTCTTTTATTCTTTAGTTTTTAGTCAATTCTATTGTGTGTGACCCTATAGGTTTAAGCATACCCGGTTGTAAGCATTCGATACTAACTATAAGTAGTATCTCAAATTAGAACTCTTTCTAATTTAGCTTGAATTAGAACTATTCTAATTCTCCATTTATGAAGAACAATTAATACATTTATATTAATTTCATTCTTTGAACTTTTACTAATCATGAATGACAACTAGCAGCATATCATGATTAACTTTCGGATAGCATAAAGTAGATAAAGAACTCATTTAATTTATAGTTGTCATGCAATTCAATCCTTCTACGACCAATGCCCCAATTGAATTACTAGGGTATGAAATTACTGTAAAATCTCTAATTCAATCTAATTGTCATTCTGTCTTGGCCAATGACTCATTGAGTCNCACAATGCCCCAATTGAATTATTAGGGTATGAAATTACTGTAAAATCTCTAATTCAATCTAATTGTCATTCTGTCTTGACCAAGGACTCATTGAGTCATATCCTAAAAGACCACAAAGAACATTCTCCCTTTATTTATTANCCAATGCCCCAATTGAATTACTAGGGTATGAAATTACTGTAAAATCTCTAATTCAATCTAATTGTCATTCTGTCTTGGCCAATGACTCATTGAGTCATATCCTAAAAGACCACAAAGAACATTCTCCCTTTATTTATTAAGGGTGATAGATTTCATATTGTACACTCATAAATCTCCATGCATATCTAATTATGTCCAACAATATATATTCAAGTTACCGGGTTACTATATAAATATGTTGTATAGTTAAAGTATAGAAGTTCATGCATAAGATAACCATTATGTCTCAAGTCTAAGAATCAGTTGCATAACTATAAATNTATCCAACAATATATATTCAAGTTACCGGGTTACTATATAAATATGTTGTATAGTTAAAGTATAGAAGTTAATGCATAAGATAACCATTATGTCTCAAGTCTAAGAATCAGTTGCATAACTATAAATTTAAGATTTAATATTGACAGGTATTTAAAATTCCATATGAAAAATTCTACGTTAATTAATGATCATGTTTAGTGTACTTCTCTAACAAGCACCCATACACTTGCTTCGGTGTCCCTACAGTAGTGACTTGGACGAGTCACCTCATATCAAATATGAGTAAATATAGTGTATATCAGTCTATCCGAATTATATAGTGTCCACATAGTAATCCTATGACTAAGATCATTAAAGAGTTAAATATTAAGAAGTATATGTCCCCTCTTATCAATTTTTTGAGAAACTATCTTTTTAACTTATACTCTATAAACTATATCATGTATATATTAAAATAAAATAAAGTAGAAACATGATAAATAAACTTACTTTTTTATTTAATTAAGTAATGAATGTTGCTAGTATAACCCCAAAATATTATCTATATGATTGGTCATAGAACAAACTATTAACATATTATATTTTAGGAAGCGTTGAACAAACTGGTAAAGATGAGTCTAATACTTCATATGTTCTCATGGAGTTACAGGCTTTTGGATTTATTTTTTGAATCTATGCCTGGGAATATTTGGGGACCAAGGAAGGACATATGCAAGATATTAATGGTTTATTTTTTTTTAACGGGCTATCCCTTTTAGTTTTTGGAAATTGTTTTCATCCTGTTTTATTTCATGGGTCTGTTTTGTGAGAAAATATTGAATGAATGTTATTATTGTAACTTCGTCTTACCATCTATCTGTTTAATAAGATAGTTAACATTTTGATTTTTATTCTCACATTTTTCACCCATTCTTAACATATTACCCATTTTCAAAAGTTGAATCATTTAANACTTGAAAAATAACGTTTTACACTAATTTAAATACATGTGCACATGCACTTTAAAGCCCAACATATTCAACCACAAAAAAAAAAAAAAAAATTTCAAACCCACATTGAAAAATCATATCAAAGAGTAAGGTTTTTTTTTTTTTTTTTGATCAAGAGAAAAGAGTAAGGTTACTTTCTTGTTTCTATGGTTATGTCTTTGGCAGGCAACCCAACAATTATTGGAGTAAGAATAAAATAATACTTCATGCAGTTTATTCAAAATCTAGTTTATGCTTCAATTTCCCATGAGAAACTGACCTCACTTACCAAGTATTAATCTCTGATTTAGTTGTAGTTAAACCCAATATAATGGCTTGGTCTCAATCTCATCCCTTAGCTCTCTCTCTCTCTCTCTCTCTCTCTCTCTCTTTTTCTTTTTGCGATTGCTTCATCACTAAGCCACCACCTTCTGCCATTTCTCTCTCTCCCATTCACTTCTTTATTTCTTTCTATGTTCCCCACAAATATGGCAGCTGATTAACGCTTAAAAGTAACATTTCAATATACATTAAGAGGGTTAATTACTTGCTTGAATTGTTTAATTGGTCGTAACTTATGTGATTTCAATTGTATAGGGTAAATATTGAGGTTAACATAAAGTGCAAAGTACAAGGAAGAATTTTGGTAAAGTTTGGGGTAGCGAAGTGGAAAAGTCAACCAAAAGAGGAAAAAACAAGAGGTTCCGGAAGACTGCCACCATCCGATCGCCACTACCACCGTCAGATGCCACTGCCCAATTGAGATTCTTGATTAAAGGCTACAAATTTTGTAAGAAAAGTTGGACAAACTGATGTTGACCATCGTCTGGACGACCATCCATCTTCCGGATGCCATTCTCCAAATGCAAAATTATGCTTAAAGAATCAGATTCCAGAGAGTTCGCACTGTCTAGACGCCAAAACTATCGTTCGGATGCTGCTCCCCGAAGCTGCATTTCTTGCTCTTGAATCCAAACCTTGAAATTGGTCCTTTTTGCTGCCCGGTGTTAAACCCAAAAAAATTAATAAATCAATTAAATGGGTAATATTGTAATTAAGCTATTTTAAGCAAGGTTAAAAAAAATCTAAACTTTTTATGTAACACAGATGATGAAACAGACCTTACCATTAGATTCGTCTTGCGAAATTGAGTTGAGCATTCAATTCTTTTTTTAAATTCTAAGACAGTCAGAATTTTTATATTTTACGAAACAAATTGGGATATGAAAAAAATTTCAGCAACTTGAGATTTATTTGCGAGACCCATAATAGAATTAAAAAACCATTCAACTAATCTTATCTACTATGACGCATGACATAATTTGATTGGGAGTTGGAGATTTCCAACTGANTGAATTCTAAGACAGTCAGAATTTTTACATTTTATGAAGCAAATTGGGATATGAAAAAAATTTCAGCAACTTGAGATTTATTTGCGAGACCCATAATAGAATTAAAAAATCATTCAACTAATCTTATCTACTATGACGCATGACATAATTTGATTGGGAGTTGGAGATTTCCAACTGATGGAAATATGACACTTGACACACTAAAGGGGCAAGTATAATAATTAAGGGGCCAAAAGGTGAAAGATAAAAGTCTTCCACCTAGCCTCTTGGCAAAAATCGTTTCAGAGAGAGAGAGAGATTCCAATCTTCTTCTTCTTCTCACTAAAAGTCAAGATCCAACTATTGGATCATCAAACACCAAGAACAAAAGTTGTTCTACTCGACGAGGGCTATGCGTCAATGCCAATTTCACCAGAATTTCGAAAATCAAGGGTTTGGGGCTAGGGCTTTGAAGAGCTTATTTTGGGCTTCTCAAGGGATTTCTTCTCCTCCAATCTTTTCTTTGCACACGCTACAAGAGGTGGGGGTTCCCTTCTATTTAAAGTCCCTTTCAANCCCACTAAAAGTCAAGATCCAACTATTGGATCATCAAACACCAAGAACAAAAGTTGTTCTACTCGACGAGGGCTATGCGTCAATGCTAATTTCACCAGAATTTCGAAAATCAAGGGTTTGGGGCTAGGGCTTTGAAGAGCTTATTTTGGACTTCTCAAGGGATTTCTTCTCCACCAATCTCTTCTTTGCACACGCTACAAGAGGTGGGGGTTCCCTTCTATTTAAAGTCCCTTTCAATCTAGGGCTTGCATATGAGACGGGTTTGAGTAACATATGTTAATCACATGATTAGCCTATAACTAGTGTAGCTAGTGAATTAATTGAAACTTGTGAGCATGTGCCTAGTTTTTACTCGAGTTAGGTTGTTGAACATGTTTTACATGTAGATTATGATGCGTATGCTTGGTGTTTACAATTTTTCACCCTATGTGTTTGATAAAATGTTTAAATGTATTCCAACATGTTAATTGAGTTAATCAATGCATATAACATGTGTTGAGTGCTATGCTAGAATAATCTTATATGCTTTAATGCTATAATTGACATTGTGTTTTCAGTTGAAATACAGTTGTACATACATTGCACGTGCAAGAGTTAAACATCACATCCACGAGATATTAGGCATGGTTTGTGAGTGTTGTGCTTGGATAAATCGCTTACCATATACATGAGTGATGGGTGGGGCTTGGAAGATTGGACCAAGGTTCAATTGAGTCCCACGAAAAATTGTATGGAAATATGTCGGGGTATATCAAGAAGGGCTAGATTCTCCCTTGGGTGTAAGACCTGATTTATTCGGTCACACATTTCTAGTGGTGTAACGAGTCCATAAAAGTGTGTTGGCAAAAATAGAGCCGTAGGTGGGATGTCCTTGAGATCCGTTAATGGTTTG